ATATTATTCACCAATTTATTCGAACCAACCAAACACATTTTCTAAATATCTTCAGTAATCTGTAAGGTGATCTTTTATTCTGTTAATATAATATCCCCATATAATAAAACATTATATGATCCAAACGCTCCCTAGAGGATAAAAAAATTACTTATTTCAATGATATTATGTATAAAAAAAAAAAAAATTCAATGCGTCGAAATGCTAAAATTTTAATCCTCTAGTTAGTGTTCTCAACATCTGCCTTTAGAGTAGATGTTAAGACAATCCTAATAATAATGCTAATCAGTATGACCAAAGCTATATCTAATAACATTAATCATAATAAGGATGACCAAAGCTAATTAGTTGACAATCAATTTTTGGTGGAAAAAGAAGATAATAATGCATTAGGGTTGATTTAACAATAATTTGATCATGATGGTTGGATTAATATTGACATTATTGTCATAATGATATTATTAGATCAACGACGTACAAAATTCTAAAAAATGATAATTAATAAGAGAAAGTGGAAGAACCTTTTTCTCCAAGGAAGTCCTTGTTAGTTGATAGTAATGAAAAACATCAATTAAATTTATAATTTCCATTTTTTCTATTCCTGCATATATCATTGATTTACAGAGATAAAAATATAAAATAAATTAATTAATTTTGATTTAAGATTAATATATAAGTGTATAAAAAAAAAAAAAAAAAAACAACACACCTAAGATATCTCAAGAAATTATAGTTTTATCTCCGAAATGGGAAATAATTAAGGCAGGTATAATAGTAATTAATTAGCTAACTCTATTAATTTTTTTTATTATCCTCATATATAACAAATAAAAACTTGTAAATTTTAAATAATTTAGTAAAAAGAGGAGCATAATTGTTTTTTTATGTTAGTAATTGTTAATTAATTATGAAAATATTTCAACAATTTAATCTCTTTAAACTCCACCTAATAAACAAGATACGAATATTTTATAATTCGATTATTTAAATGAAGCATTCATGCATGCAAAATCTTATAAACAAATAGATATGATGAAGAGATGAAATAAAAAATAAAGAAAAAACAAAGAAAATGGGACCAAATGTTCTATCAATTACTTTTAAAGTTCATTATTTCTTCATTAATGTAAAGCTTGAAAGCCACGTTTCTTGCCAAATCACATGGGAAATAGTACTTCATTCATAAATTCATAATTCAGTTAATATTCTTTTTGGGGAGAATATAATTGGAGATCGAAAAATTCATTCATAAATTTAAATTCAAATTTAATAATATAAGATTTTGGATATAATTTTATATATGAAAGAGTCCACCAGGCACCTACCTTGCTTTTGTACTAGACTGAAGTAGACCAAATTAATAAAATATAATTATAATAATAATGCCCAAAATATTAATGATTTAATTTAGAGGAAAATATGGAACAATTTGTCTCCACTTTCATTTTTTTTTTTTTTAAGAATTAAAATGTCAAAGAAAAAACCAAATGCCCATTTTATTTTTCATAGAGAAGGGAATATTGTATTACCTGTTCAATAATATTCTCAAGCTCAAACCTTAAATCTCTAATCTAAGGATCACAATTTTCCGAAGAAAATAAAAATAATAAAAACCCGAATCCAATGTCCAATCCTTATAAGTGAAGAGTTATGGGTATCATGTCGCTTTACTAATAATGATCAAAGGTTGATAATGCTATTTTATTTTACACAAATAATAAAAATAAGAACTTAAGTTTAGTCAGTTTGATTAATTGGTGATTTCTTTCAAAATTAATAAATTTGTTGATTAAAAGCAGAATAGATAGGCCATTAATTTAATTAATTGCATGCATGCAAATTCAAGTGAAAATATATCAAACTAATTAATTGCATTACATTATTTATAAGTCAATGTAAGTTTTTCCCCTTATTTATTTTTGAGGTTGGAGCTTGTATGTTAGGTGAGATTGGTAAAATTTCAATCTATATCTTTCAAAGATTTATGTTACATCAAATCAATCTGAATTATATTTGATGTTCTGATTAATAAATTAAAAATCATATTTTATGTATGTGGTTGATTTGTAATTTCATTTTTCTCCAAACTCATCAGAAATCAAATTGGTTATTTAATAATTATATAGTTAATTTAATGAATTAAAGTCAAGCCATTAGAAAACAGGAAGCTTCCTAATGTTTCTGCTCAAAATAAATAGAAAACTATGAAATAAAAAATAGTAGGCTAACAACATGTTGAAATACAGTCACCAAACAAACAAATAAATTGAAAATTATGTCAGTTCAGGAAGTTTCTGGGCTTACTGTTTGATTGATTGACTCAAGGATCCATCCCGAGAAAGGCCAGTCTACTACCAATTTAATCATAGTCTAGACTCTAGACAGTGTAATTACAATCAAAATGATTAATTAATGAAATGAAGGTGGTGGTCCCTCTTATAGTGACTAAGAATCTTTTTTATACACAAATGAAATGAACAGGTCAATCCATTTTGATTTTGTCCAATTCCTTCAACTTGCTCAATACAATACACCATAGTGGATCACTAATTCTATGCTTATCTTTTCTGCTCGTCTTCTCTAACAGGTCAATACAAATGAAATTTCAAGTTATTCCCATATTTATCTAACAATATTATGACTTTAAACAAACACTAATACCATCACCCAAATGTTTCACAATTGGTTGAACTGAATTTATTACGTGCATGTTTCAGTTAAAAAATATGACATTATTGCATCTTCAGATCATTTCTGCTCACCAATTAAAGACTTCAAATTAATTTGATGTTACAAAATGTTGGTATGAGCCCAACTATTGTAATGGGTCCTCAACATCAAAGCCCACAGGCTAACTTTTATACCTCAGAGACACACTCCCTTTCTCTTCCAAAAAACATGCGGAACGATTCATTCAATATTGAGTAATACTAGCCTTACAAAGAGGCATACAAAGACTCATACAAAGAGTCAAATCCAGCCCTTGAAATTCATGACTGCCTCTTTCTCTCTCTTTTTTTCCCTTCTTTCAAGGACTGGATTTGACTCTTTGTATGAGTCTTTGTATGCCTCTTTGTAAGGCTAGTATTACTCTTCAATATTATAAAGTAGACAGGAAGGGGAGGGAATGACCAGATCCATCCCTGCGATAAAATGAAACAAACCCTCTAATTTTGATCTTTGATACAAACAAAACTGCCTTGTGATTTGATATTGGAATTAATGATATGAACCCTATCCAACAACTCAAACAATTGGGCTAGACAATGAGTCTTTCATGTGATTGGGAACCATTTATAACCCACATGTCCATCATTTTCCCTTTCAATGTGGGATCCTAATAGAACTCAAATCCCATATTCATAAATTGATGCTAATGAACAAGGTACTGGGATGTTTGACATGCAGACTGCAGGTTTAATCCTAACGCATACCATTCGAAGACCATTCACGTTCAAGCATGGAGTTCAAAAATCAACAAGCAATTATGTAACGATGCACCTTAGAATTCAGAAAGTGACTTCTAATTTTACCACATTAATGCTGTTTATAATACTAGAGTGAAAGACTTTCAATAACCAGTATTTAAAACCTGAAGCTACGAAGCAAAATCCAGATGTTTCTAAACTCAAATTGCACAACAGTATATTCATGGGGTCTCCGAATAAGAAGAAACAGACTAAAATCTAAGCCATCCCTTCATGGCTTAAACCAAATGCCCAAATTATACACCCACAACTAGTCACTTAAAAGTGCAAAAAAATAAACATAAAACTAGGGCCGTAGATATCAGTAAAATAGATACAACAGATCAAACGAACAAACAAGAAAAAAAAAATGTCCGGCACAACCGACAGAGTTTAGTGCTCGAGTTTGACAGAAAGCTCCCATCGGAAGTCACCAGATCATTATTAACGAACCTAACTCAAACAATGTATCACCTTAAAATGCAGTACAACAAACAGAAAACAGAGCACAAACCATACAAGAAATACATGCTTGATCTTGTACATCTCTCAGAGCCTTTGTCAGTGACCTTCGCTCAGCCCTGAAACTTGCTCCCTGAAACTTGCTGACACCATAATATAATTTCCCACAGTAGATTAATACAACCTATCACCACTATATTATGGGAGTGAAAACGTTTTTGAATGAATCGATTCATTACCCATCAGGGCAGCATTGTAGTAGAAGATATAATTGGCTCATATCTGTTAGAAAGTAGGTCTCAAAATATTCATAGCAGACTTTCCAGACCTTTGATTCTTTAGCGGAGAAGTTGATACCCCAACTGGTACTCAAAAGTATAGCCACTCATCACTCATGAAGAAAGAACTAGAGAACTAAAGAGATTCTCATAAGAATCGGACACTCACAAGAAGCACAGGATTCTAATATCTAGCTTAAGAACTTTGAATTTGCCTTATTCAAAATGAAATGACAGTAAAGATGAAACTGATAAATGAAAATGAAAGGAAAGTACTTGCAAGTAAGCAGCACAGAAAAGAAAAATACAGTTCCATGTTCAAAACCACACACACAACGAAGTACAACTCATACTTAAAAGCATGAGAATCTTTCGAGACTTGATTCGAGCACTAAAAACTAGCCTTTTCATCAAACTTTAACTCAAGGAAAGTATGTATATGCAAAATCCAAGATGGATTATCTGCTAGAATTTGAGATAATGAACTCTTTCTGTGAAATAATCTCAGTTTCAGGCAAACCACCTCCCGTGAAAAACGCAGAATACACAATAGGAAAAACTCTGAACACATTCTCTTCTTAGAATTTATACAAATCTAATCAAAACCAATAACATATGATAAATTTCTGCAAGTTTAGATGTATTAGAAGATACCCCATTGAAGTTCAAATGACCATGATCCTTATCAATATCGCCATAAAAACAAGAAAACAAGAACTCTAAATCCAATTTATAACAAAACTAAAATCAACACCAATTTAGGTTTGACATGAAAATTAAAACTAAAACTATATAAAACAATTAAATATAAAACTTATAAATTTTAAATCCAAATCAATGTGATGTGAAACCATTGAACTATAATTACTACATAGTTTACTCACATTCAGTTCTTTACATAGCAACTAGACATCGGTCGACCCGACCCGTTAAGTTCCCGTCGAATCCACCATCATTCGAAAGCCGAATATTCACACCCTCACATGACACTTTCATCAAACGCCACCTCATCTCCCACCACCCGGTTTTAAACCGGACCCACCCGTAAACCCCAACACTGAAATCCACCAGCCCACGAGCCTTCCGGTCCTCCTCGATTCTACTCACCACACTCTCGCCGACGTACTCGTCCACGGCGCCCAACCGGAAATCGACATGCGTCTCGTTTCCCTTATCCTGCGCGAACGGCGCCAGCTGCGTCGTCGCGAGCTCCAATCCGGCGTACGCCACCGACGCCTGGAGGGAGTTGTACGAGATCGCGAGCTTCTCGTTGGGGTTCTTAACCGTCAGGGTGAACTGCCACGTGGCGGAAAGGGAGGATGTTGACTCGGTGGTGTTGAGTTGGGAGACGGAGCCCGAGTCGACTCGGAACTGGGGGAGTTGGGGTCTGAAGACGAGCCACGTGATGAAGGAGGCCAAGGCCATGACGGTGAGGAACGCCAGGACCATCACTATGAGACGGCGGAGAAGCGTGGACCCTGCTCGACGGTCGGGCTGATGATAGTAGGAGGTGGGGTCCACGTGACTTCGGGGTGGTTGTGGCGGCGGCGGTGGGGCCGCGTAGGCGTAGGTGACCGGATAGCCGGTGACGGACTTGTCCGTTTGAGACGGGTCTTGGGCCTGGGCTTGGGCCTGAGATGATGTTGCCGCTGTCGCCATTTCTTTTAATTTTCTTCTTCTCAAAAGAGTTGAGAGTTTTGAAAGACAAAGACTCCTCAGATAAGAAAACTAGAAGAAAAATTAATAAATTAAGAGAGAGTTTGTTTCGTTAGTTTATTTGGGAGGGAATCTCAACGCCAGTGAGCTGCCGGAAAAGAGAGAGAAACAAGACGGATGAGCTGTTAGTGTACACGTGGCATGTTTGGAGGAGTGGAAATTTTGAAGTGGTTGTTATAGTTAATTGTTAATACCATACCGTTAATGGAATACCGTATTTATGGAATTTGTTTTAGTTAAAAGTTAAAACACATATCGCTCAGTGAGACTGTTTTAGGTGAGGAAGAAGGGTTAGTATTTTGTTGTTTTAGTGGGATTCACTTAAAAACCTCCTTAAAATTCACCACAAAACCTCCTTAAAATTCACCACAAAACGTACAAACAAAACTCATCTTCAACGATAACAAAACTCATCATCAACAATTGTATCAATCACTTAAAAAGAAAAAACTTCCCTAAAATACAGTATAAAATCTCACATAAACAAATCAACAAAACCAAACCATGTGCGCCGTCGCAAGAGATCCGTGGTTGAGGAGCTTGCGGTGGCCAAATGAGCTTCTCGCGGAGGTCATGTGACGGATTTTTTGACACCCTGAAGTCTTAGTGAAAAGACGTAAATATCCCCAAGTTTTGGAAATGTACACCATCAACAAAAAGTGATGTGATATACTATTGAGTTAACAAACTCATCTGTAACTCAATCCGTCAAACTCTATCTTCTTTCTCCTTTATTTCTTTTTTTTTTTTTTTTCTCATTCTTCTCTCTTTTATTTTATTCTTCCATTCGTCTGCCTCACTTCAACTTGACCCGCTTGACTTTGAAAAATTTTCAAATGACAATTTAAATTTCACATAAATACTTTGGTCATGTATAAATATAATTAAATTTTTTAAATTTACAAAATACCTTATACCTCACAACTACACTAAACTTTACACAAAATTTTATACTCCTTCTGTTTCACAATAATAGTTGTTTTAAGGTTATACACATTTTTTAATAAAACAATTCTCTCTTTCCTCTTGCTGACTCCTCCCTTTGAAATTGAAATTGCAGGTGAAAAAATTTTAGTTTTGTTGCTATATAAAAGTGTGAAAGTGTTATTGAATTTAATATCTATATATTATTTCATTTTCTCTCTCCTACTCCATCTGTTACTGACTCCATCTCTTATTGACTTGCATTTCTTTCATTCTGTTTCGTTACTCACCATGGCCAAACAATGTAATAGTAGAAGTGTGCTTGGGAAAATCGATTTGAATGTTCTTTCAACATTAGAAGCTACTAATGAAGTTAATGACATAGATAAGGAAGTTAATACGCATGTGAGTCAGAAAAACCTCACAAATGAACAAAGGCAAGCTATTTTTGAATCTCTGTTGAAGCGAAGTGTCAATGGACAATTAAAAAAAAACACTACATATAAGGTGGCTCAATTATTTCGAGTTAGTATGCGTACAGTCCAACGCATCTGGCAACGAGGAAAAGAAAATGAAGGATTGGATTCTAACACTAATGTGTCTAGCAAAAAGGCATTAAATTGCGGGCGCAAGCGTCTTCAAATTGACGTCAATCAATTTCGACATATTCCATTGCGAAGAAGGACAACACTTAGGTATTTATCTGTTGCCACAAATTTGTCAGTGACAACGCTGTTTAGGCAATTAAAAGAGGGCTTTATACGTCATCATTCAAATGCTATAAAACCTCTATTAAAGGTGGAAAACATGAAAGCCAGAATACGCTTTTGTTTATCGATGATTGAACAAGGCAACAACCCCAATTGTTTGAGGTTTGTAACCATGGAAAATATTATTCATGTTGATGAGAAGTGGTTCTACATGACAAAGCAGTTGGAGAAGTATTACCTCCTTCCTGACGAAGATGAGTCTTTATGCACATGTAAGAGTAAGACTTTTATTACTAAAGTCATGTTTATGGCTGTACTAACACACCCAAGGTTTGATGAATCAGGGAATGAATTATTTTCTGGAAAAATCCGGATATTTCCTTTCATAAATAAAGAACCTGCAAGGAGGAGCAATAAAAATCGTTCTGCAGGAACCATGGAGACTAAAACAATCAATTCTATTAATAAAGAAATTTATCGATCTTACATAGTTGAGAAACTCTTACTAGCTATCCGAGATAAGTGGCTAAGAATTGATGCAAGAAGTCCAATATTTATCCAACAAGACAATGCGAAACCTCATATTGGTTTGGATGATGAGTATTTTCAAAGTAATGCTACTAAGGATGGCTTCGACATACGTTTGATCTGTCAGCCTCCGAATTCTCTAGATATGAATGTTCTAGACCTTGGTTTTTTAAATGTGATACAAGCACTAATACCAACAGGCGCCCAACTTTGTAGATGCGCTCATAGAGTCTGTTCAAAAGTCATTTGAGGAATACTCGCCAACAAAGTTGAATCATACGTTTTTAACTTTACAGTCATGTATGATTTCAATTTTGAAAGGTGGAGGTTCGAGCAAATATAAGGTTTCCCACATGAAAAAACATAGTTTGGAGGGACAAAAGTGCCTTCCTAGCCAGTTAGATGTCGACCTCGAGTTAATTGGAGAAGCAATTGCTCAATGTCAATAAGTGTTGTAATTGACCTATCTGATAGTTTAGATTATTTTGTTTTGTCTATGATGTTCATATGGGTTCTGATAAGATATTGTCTTTTAGGAGTAGTTCGTGTTTCATTTTGATTTCTGTGTTTTTTGCTGTAAAGAAATTCTACTCTAGCAAGCAAGAAAAGAACTTGTTCTATTTTGTAATATAAGTTTTTGTTATGGTAATATATAAGAATAAAAGAATGAGTCCTAACCAAAAGACCCTACAAAGTCACGGTCCTTGGACAAGCCTAAGAAACCAAAGCAAGAACAACAAAAAGAAAAACAAGGATTACAGTCCTAACAAAACATGTAGTTAGTCTAAGAAATACTAGACAAAAAAGGCCAACAGTAAAAAAAGCAAGCCATCTGGGCATAAAGCAAACTGCACAGTCTGTACACAAACGTCCGCAGCCAAAAAGTCTCAAAACTCCAACCACCCTCAAGGAAATCTAGCAAAAGCTTCAATCCCAGCCAACAGAGAAACCAAGACTCACCATAGCAAAACTCCTACAAGGCACACCCAAGGATAGGAGAAAACAAGCAGCATCTCCTGGCAAAAAGGGAAATCCAACAAAGAAGGTTTTGTAACCAAATCCATGACTTGCATCTTGGGGCAGCCACACACCCTTCTTAACACTCAAGGCCCCTCAGCATAGGCCAAAACAAAACATAGGCAAGAGTTACCAAAAGTGAGCCAAAACCCAAATAAAAAGCAGCAACTAGCTGAGAAAAACTTAAAACACCTAAAACACCCAACGATCACTCTCACCAAGGAGTACAAGGCCCGATCGTCTCTTGGAGGCCACACGAGCCATAACAACAGTGAACATATCACACTAACAGGCACTTTATAGACTTCGACATATGTAAAGGAATCAAGCAAATCACCCAATACACATTTTTGTTCATCATTGTTCTAGCTCTTGATGAACATTTTTGTTCATCATCACCCAATACCGAATTAAGGTTGTTAATTAGCTCTTGAGAGTAGGACAAACATTGGACTTCTTTAACACCATTTTCACAAGCTACGCACAATCCATGATATAAGGCTAAATATTCTGCATGCAGTGTGTTAGAAGCTGACACATATTGTTCTAGTAAAGTCAAATTTCCACAACATGTATCATGCATTACAACACCCACTGCTGATTTTTCCTGGTTATTCCAAACTCCAGAAATTTTAATTTTGACAATCGGTCTTGATGCACCTTCTACATTGTTTTTTGCAACATGTACTGTATAAGAGAAAATATTGTAACAAATTAACTGAATTGACGGAAGCAAAAAAAGTATATTGACATCGACCATAAAAAAAAAAAAATTAAATAAAACCTCCACTATTGACATCCACCATTCCATATTGATTTGCAATACTTGTACTGCCTTCAATGTCAATTAATTTGACCTCACTGTTGATGTTATGATTATCTTCAAAATCTAAACATTCATAAATTAAAAAGTCAAATGAGTTATACAACAATGTACCATTATCAATTTTAAGAATAATAACCTTAAGAAAACACAAAAAAGTCACTTACATGATAAAGGCACCCTTAACATCATTTGTTCTAATTATTTATGTGAAAGTTTACAACTTGTAATCTCCACTGCGTTTACAGCCTGATGTATTTACAGGACCTCAATTTCCACCTGGAAAACTAGGCAATAGCGATAAGACCCAAAAATTGACAAGCTAATTAGGGTTAAGGCTTATTCTAGAAGAAACTAACTTTCTGTTTGGTAGCGAATTTCCAGAACACAATAATGCAACAACATCAAACATAGTCAACCATAACATTTTTTTTCTTTCTCCCACACATTTTACTTCACAAATAAACAAAGCACAAAACAGTGGAGGCAAGGCAATTAAATGCTATCAAAGCTACTTACTAGTGAACTCTTCCAAGTTCTTCTATTAAGCCCTGATCAATGAACCTACAAAATTCTTCAAATTGTATCTGATTAAACCCAAGTATTGTAGACATTCCCACATTTCCATCTCTGAGAATTTTGAATTTCCCATTTATCAAAAAATCCTATTTTTGCATCGAATCAAGGAAGAAATACCTGCCACTCAACCGTTTTCCAGAAAGCCCAAAGAGGAAAAGTCTCGCGTGGGCTTGTTCGCTTGATAGGTCTTGGTCACTACTAGATTGAGTAATGCCTGAGTCGCAACATCAAGGTCTAACCCAAATTGAGCAAGGGCGGCCACTTTGCAATTGAAAATCTCGATAACTTAAACAAAAATCCAACTTTATCTTTTTCTAAAAAAAAGGAGAGGCTACAAAGTACACAAGAGATCGTAGCATACGTGCTTTCAATTGAAAGAGTTCTTCCTTCCTTTTTGTAGGTTCTACAACCTTAGTAATCAAGAAAGGAATTTTCTTATTTAACTCATTTGGTTTGAAAGGGCACATAACAGTATCGGTTGAAACCCTTTCCTTGCAAAAGGATTGATTCGCCTATGTTGCTCTCAAAGGGTTACTCGGTTTCACATCATGAAATACTCTCACGACTATTTAGGAGAATTGCAATCTTCACTTTGTATCCCCAACTATTTGGTTGGACCAGCTTAGTGATCCTTGGAGTTAACTATCTCTTCGGCTTTACACTACTAAATGATATGAGCAGGTTGGAGTACTAAGAATTCCAAATACACAGTCTCTAATCCCTTGATCTATGATGCACTCTTCTCAGAGCCACTCTTCACCTGTATTTGAGAGAGAGAGGAGACGAGGGGCAGAGATAGAGAAAGGGAGAGAGGAGATGAGAGCCAAAGAAAAAGTGGAAGAGAGGAGACAAGGCCCATTCGTTGAGAAAGAGAGAGAAGGTTGAGTAACTTTTTGGTCAAATGTCTTTTATTTTGGAAAAAGATAATAACCTTAAAACGACTATTATTGTGAAACGGAGGGATTAACTTTTATTTAATTGCACAAAGAACAAAATCAATAAAGTTTGTATATACAGTATTTTCGTATACTTTATGAAATAAAGATTATTTCTAAAATTCGATTGTCAAATTAAACTACTAGAATTCTTGTGTCTCAGTATTTTTTACTTTAAAAAAAAAAAAATCATATCAAAATGCTAAAGTTACAATTAAAGATAAACATCAAGGTTATCATTATTAGCTTAAAATTTTAACAAATTAGAAGGGTATATTTTGGCGCATTATTTAAGGGGTCCTATATGATAATGAGATTACAATAACGGGGCATTTGATTACGACCCTAATTAAGAAGATTACTCTAGTAATCTATCTTTTAATCTAGGCATTATCTTGTTTAGTTCAAAGGGTTTGGATTATATAATGTTTTATTATAGGGGGATATTATATTAACAGAATAAAAGATCATCTTGAAGATTACTGGGAATGTTTAGAAAATGTGTTCGGTTGGTTCGAATAAATTGGTGAATAATATGTTTGGTTGGGAGGATAAATGGGTGTGTATGTTATATAGATTACTAAATTGCCCTCCTTTTTAAATATTAATATAACACTATTTTTTATTATTATTTTTTGAATAATTTTGTTTAACCCCCTACTTTTCAGATTCAGCAAAAACACCCTAGCAACCAAAAATATTTTAAACTTAACAAAAACACCCTTACCCACCCCAAGCCACTGCTGGCAGCTAGCCACCACTGCTGGCGGCCGCTAGCAATGCCACAAATCTGGCCATGACGTCGGTAGTGCCAGAGATTTGGTCGTTTAATGACCATATCTATGGCTGTTTCACAGCCAGATCTCTGGCCGTGAAATGGCCCGGTCTTTGGCTGTGAAACGTCTATCGTTTCACAGCCAAAGATCTGGTTATTTCACAGCCAGATCAGTCATTGTTTCATGGCCACATCCTTGGTCGGGAAACGACCAGATTTGACTTTTTCCGACCATGGATCACACTGGCGCACGTTCGACCATATATGGTCGATCGTATGCCATTATGGCGACTTTTGGCAGCCTTCGGTGACAGTTCATGGTGGCTACCGGTGGTGGCTAGTTCTAGGTATAATGGCATTTTTGTAAATAATGACAATAACGAGGGCAATGTCGTCCACAAAATTTAAAAAGCCACGACAAAAGTGTTTGCATGAGTGATTGGGTGTTTTGTAAATATTAACAAATATAAGCTTAATTTGGACCAAAAGCTCAACTGTTTAGGGACAATATGGGAAAGAAATTGTAATACCAGGGTAAGTTTTAATAACAGCAACCCCAACCCCCCCCCCCCCCCCCCCCCACCGGGTATTAAGATTACCAGAAATATATCCCCCAAATGCTACTGTTTGTCATAAAATATTCTGAGAATAATTTTTTACAAACCAACCAAACATCATCATCTGGTCAATTTAAAAAAAAGATTACCCCAATTATCCAATATTAACCCGATAGAAACGGCCCCAAAAGGTAATAAAAATTACAGTAATATTTTATTACGAAGTAATATTCAACAGGTATATAGGAGGTAATGTGATCACCGACTTAGATGGTGGTATTTTAATATTACCTGGTAATCCTAATTTTGTTACAATTTTACCCTCACTTAATAGAAATTATGGACATAAATGCCCTCCCATTGATGTCAAATAATAAGTAAACCATACGTGTAAATTGACTTATTTAACCTAATTAAATTTTTTTTGGACATAAATGCCCTTTATTATTATTATTATTACTATATTTTATGATTTATGTTTTAAATTAATAATTAATTCATTAATTAAAATTAATAGTAATATTATTAGATTAATAAATTATTTACTTATACCCACTAATCTCG